GTGTGATTGTTTCCTCTAATGTCCATCACTGCGCTGGACTATTAACTCTCTCCCCCACTGCCCCCAGTTTGGATTGAATTGCATCTCCCAAAATATGTGTTGTAAATCCTGGATCTTTACTTGTGATCATAGTCCCATTTGGGCAACATGAGTATAGCTGCTGCTGTGTGCTGTTGAGTCAGGTCTGACTCATAGTGACCCTGTTTGGGTTTCTGAGGTTATACTTCTTTATGGGAGCAGAAAGCCTCACCTTTCTCCCTCAGAGTGGCTGGTGGATTCAAGCTACTGACTTTGCAGGTTAGCAGCCCAATGCGTAACTCACTACTCTACCAGAGTTTCTTGTTTTAGTGTAGGGTGTGTCTTAAACCAATCTTTTTGAGATGTAAAAGCTGATTACACAAGCAGCAAGACATCAGAGACAGGGGCTGAGAGATGCCCAGCCACATGAAGATCACCCAGGAGTAGAAGCTGAGGAGAGTCAAGGACCTTCCCCTGAGTCAATACACACAGAAAAAGCCTTCTCCTAGAACCAGTAACCTGAATTTAGACTTCTAATCTCCTAAATGTTGAGAAAATAAAGTTCTGTTAGAACCACCCACTTGTGGTATTTCTGTTAAAGCAGCACCAGATAACCCAAGGGCAGAGACTGTTTGCATTTGTTCTCTGCAGTATCTCCATTGACTGCCTAGTGGCACTCAGTAAATATTTATTGACTAAGAGTAAATTTTAACTGGAGAATTCATAAAGGGACTGTGAATGTTAGCAACATGGATTTTGTTGTTAAGTGCCGTTGAGTTGGTTCCAACCCATAGCGAATCTGTACAGGGTTTCCGAGGCTGTAAATCTTTAGGGGAGCACAAAGACCCATTTTTCTCCCACGGAGCAGCTGGTAGTTTTGAAATGCTGACTTTAAGGTGCACAGCCTAATTTGTAACCACTACGCTACCAGCACTCCATAAAGAAGCAAGTTGGTCTCCCTTTACTAACTATACCCCATCTCCTATCAAGTCTCCCCTATCTCCCAGTTGTTAAGTACTGTCCAGTTGATTCTAACTCATGGTGACCCTGTATAGGGTTTCAAGGAGTAGCTGGTGGGTTTGAAGCAGCCACCTTGTGGTTAGCAGCCCAGTATTTATCTATCACTCCAACCAGGACTCCAGTGATTCTGCTTAGTCAGTAACATAGGAGTCTTTAGAATAGCAAAGTAGAAAACAGTATAGGAGCTCTGGGGGCACAAGGGCTGAGTGTGTCACCCTACCAGCTGCTCCTTGGTAGAAAGATATGGCAGTCTGCTTCTCTAAAGATCACAACCTTGGAAACCCGAGGGGTCAACTGATTGCTTTTGTGATTTTGTTTTTGTTGTTGTTGTTAATACAAAAAATATAGCAAAATTGATGGGTTGGGGAGACAGACCGCCTGGGGTTAAATTCTGGCCTGATCATAATTGGGTAACCACATTCTCTTTGGGCCTCACTTTCCTCACCTGTAAATCAGTGTGGCACTGTAGGATAAGCACTAGGCTCCTTACAGCAGGTCAACAAACCAAACCCACCAGCTGCTCTTGGAAACCCTATACAGGGTCACTATGTGTTGGAACCAACTCGACAGCACTTAATGACAACAACCTGAACTAGAAAGGAGCCCTGGTGATGCAGTGGTTAAGGCTGCTAGTCAAAAGCTCAGCCATTCAAACCTACCAGCTGCTCAGTGGGAGAAAGATGTGGCAGTCTGCTTCTATAAAAACTTCTGCCTTAGGAACCTTATGAGACAGTTCTACTCTGTTTTATAGGGTTACTATGCCTCAGTGGATCTCTGTTAGCGTAGTGGTTACGAATCGGGCTGCGAACTGCAAGGTCAGCAGTTCGAAACTACCAGCTGTTCCATGGGAGAGACATGAGGCTTTCTGCTTCCGTAAGATTTACAGCCTTGTAAACCCTGTACAGGGTCGCTACGAGTCGGAACCGACTCCACAGCACACAGCAACAACAACACAATGCCTCAGTGGAGTCCTGGTGTGGCACTGGAGGATAAACACTGAACCACAAGGTCAATTTGAGCTGCAAGGTTGGTGGTTCAAACCCACCAGCCACTTCTTGGAAACCCTGTATAGGGTCAGTGTGACTCAATGAAACTTAATAACAACAACGAATCAGTAGACTCATTGTGATGCATTTGAGTAATTTTTTTTTTGAGCATTTGAGAAGACCATTAAGAATATTAAATGTATCAATACCGTATCTGTACTGGAAGAAATACAACCAGAATGTTCCTTGGAAACCAGATTAGTGAGACTTCATCTCTCATCCTTCAGACATGTTGTCAGGAGGGACCAGTCCCTGGAGAAGGACATCAAGCTTGGTAAAGTGGAGGGTCAGCATAAAAGAGGAAGACCCCCAGCGAGATAGATTGGCACAGTTGCAACAGGAATGGGTTCAAGCTTTAACGATTGTGAGGGTGGTGCAGGACGGGGCAATGTTTCCTTCTGTTGTGCATACCGTGGGAATTGACTCATGGACTAGATGGTACCTTACAACAAAAACGAGTCAGTTCTTCACAGTCACCACTAGGGGGCAGGAACAGTTAAGATAATAATGTCCAGGAACAGCCAGACCCAGAATTTCGAGGATGAGGATGGTTGAGGCTAAAAAAAGATCAGAATGATTGAAAAACAAAAACAAAAAAGCCAACCCACTTGTTCTTTCTCCCTTGGAGACCAAAATGGAAGGGAATGTGTGACTAGAGGACTTGAAGTTAGATTTAAATAAGAACTTCCAGAGCACAAATTTTATTAAATAAATGTCAGTTCAACTGATCAAAAAAGGATTGTGATCCTACTCCCTTGAGAGATTTTACACAGCTTATTGAATTTTATTTATTTGTTTGCCTCTTAGCCACATCAGGCTGAGTGGAGTGGATGAGAGAGAGGGCTCTTTAAGTCAGAGGCCTATGTGACCTCACTAGATCCCTACAAAGCAATCCTCCTCCGTGGTGGTGGTGATTTGCAATTCACAGTAACCCGTGACAAAGTAGATCTGGGGTTAAATTCTGTAATTTTTATGGGGTTATCTAGACTGTAATTCTTATGGGGGCTACTGGGTGGGTTCAAACCACCAACCTTTCAGTTAGCATCCAAACAAGTCTTTAGCCCTAGCACCACCAGCCAGCGCTCCTTAACCCTCCTGTGGTTCTACCTTAGGAACCCTGGTGGCACTGTGGTTAAGTGCTGGGTTTTTATCAGAAAAGGGCGCAGTTTGAACTCATTAGTTGCTCCATGGAGGAGTGCTTCCATAAAGACTGACACTCTAGGTAACCCTGTGGGGCACTTCTATTCTTTCTTAGAGGGTCGCTATGAGTCGCATTTAGTTCGGCGCCAGTGGGCAGTTCTGCCTTAAATGACTCCATTCTCGCAATGCAATAGTAAAATATCTTTATTGGTCAGGTTAGCCACCACTCATGTTTTTCCTGTAATAGGATGCTGTATAGGGACATGATGGTGCTCACATGCAGGTGCTTTCTGAAGAGCCCTAAACAGAGGGCAGCCTTGGCCCTCATGCCAGAGCTCATTTGTTGAAATGACCTGGTTTGGCTTTTGTGGATTTCAGGGTCTGGAGCCAAGAACATAGTCCAAGGACTCTCCCATACCCTTTTCAGGGAAGCGGCACCAAAGCATACAAGGTATCAGGGTCCTAATGACAGCTGGGCAGGGACCAGACTCTGTCCAACTCTCCTCAATCAGTCCTTGCCCCCCACTGCCCAAGTAGCTCCACCCCAAAGGTACCCCAAAGAGCCAGTGGACCAGGCTCTAGGCAACTTTACCTTTCAAGAAATGGACAGAACTAATGACTCTCCTCCACTCCAGCTATAAAGCAACAGGGCATCTCCATTACTGAAGGTACAGCTTAGAGATGTGAGAAAAGAGGGCTTCATGCCCAGCCCAGGTAAGACTGAGGCGCCCCACTGAGCATGTTCAGCCAGAGCTGGTATTTTTACCTCTGACCTTAAGACAAATCACTTTAATATTGATTAACCACACCCTCCTGCTTTGAGCTAGCAGGTACAGGACTGGTTGGGGCCTGTCTTTCCCATCATGAGATAGGAGCTTTCTGTTTGGATAAAATAACAGGGAAAACCAACTGGTTCATGATTTGAGAACTACATGGCCCTCACCTGTGAGGATGCTGCTAGGAATGCAGGTCAGTGCTGGCCAAGTATGAAATGACCATGCATGCTGCTTCCTCAGGTCAGCCAATCTGAGATGTGTTTGCCCACATATGGATGACAAGCAGAGCTGGCCTTTTCTCTTTTGAAGTCTGATCCACCTTCAAAGAGCTGTCCAGCTGGGAGAATACAGCCCTAGAAATTTATCTAAGCTAATTTTGGCTTAGATCACACATTAGACTGTGAATATGATCATCAGGCGACTTCCAATCTAGTGGCTTTCAAGAAGCGAGTTTAGGGAGGCATGGAGGTGACTGTTGGTATCCTTCCAACCTCAGACAAAAGTGGAGGTCCTCTGGGCGCATGCCCACACACCTTGGTGTCTCCTGTCTCTGCCTAAGGCACCGAAGAGGTGTCTATGGAGGAAGGTTGAGTGGATACGGTGGGCTTAGGAGAAGGCAGCTGGACAAGAGGTATATTCTGAGGAGCAATGAAAGGGAGCCCAGAGGAGCTGCATCACCAACCCAACCCGGTGGGGAGAGCTGCGGAGCTGCTCAGAGAGAGACAGAAAGCGCGAGCGAGCCAGGGATTGTTAGCAAAATACGGCTACATTCCACAGCCCAAGCAACGTTTAAAGTTCTACACCAGGTCATTTCATAGAATTTATGGGCAGTGGGATTTCTGGGGCTGGGCCTTCCGGAGATTACTCCCTTCACCACACTTCTGACCTCGGAAAACAGGGAGCTTCCACCTGCGTCCCCCAACAGAAGGCTGCCTGTCCCTTAATCCCACCTAACCCTGCCTACAGGGAAGAAGAATAAAGAGGGAGCCTGTGGACTTTTGTCACATGGTCTATCCCAGGCCGTCCAGCAAAAGCCAAACCAAACCATCAAGCCAAATGCAATGGGGCAGTTGGGGCGCTCCGGCCCTCGCTCAGATCTCGATGAGGCTGGCGAGGCGTAGGCAGAGGGGCGCATCCACCGGCATCGCGCTGCGCTGGATCTCGTTTCCGTCCAGGCGCAGCACTTGCAGTTTGGAGAAGTTCATAACGTCCACGACGGTGCAGAAGCTGCTGATGGAGAACTCTGTGGAGATAAAGAGGGGCGGGATGGGTGTGGAGAAGCCCAGTTCAGGTACCCGGATTCCTAGCTGAGACGCAGCTTAGAAAATTTTACTGACTCCAGGGTGGAGTTCCTGAAGTTGGCAGGGGTAGGATTTTTCCAGGAGTGGAGTCATACCTATTTGTACCACTAGGCGGTATAACTAGGGTTAGCGAGGGGGCTGCGCCTGCCTCGTCAGTTCCGCCTCTTAACCATGGCCCCAAACCTGTACAGTACTCAGTTGTTTTGTTGGTAAGTGCCGCTGTGGCGGCTCTGGCTCAATAACGACCCTTTATAAGGTTTCTGAAGCGTGGCTGCAGGGTTTGAAGCGCCGACCTTACGGTTAGCAGTCTACAGAGTGCTAATCCTACGGCGCCACACCAGGACTCCGCTCAAATGCCCTTGAGTGTCCTTCTAGCCAGATCTGCTCTTTTTCTACCTGTTGCCAGCAGGGGGAAGCAGAGGCTAACCAAGAGTTAACCCTAGCAGTTTGCGGACTTGATTGTTTTCGGAGAGGGGACTTTTTGCTGAATTTGTATGAGAATGGGAAAAAGGAGGGGCTTGAATCTTGAATATTGCCTGCCACAGAGTCGATTCTGACTCTTAGGGACTCACGGAAGCGGCTGGTGGGTTTAAACTGTGTGGACTTTTCGGCTAAGAACGCTACCAATGCTCCTTTAAGATTCAGTGGCAGGAAATTAAAATGAGAAAACCTGGCCTGAGAGAAAAGCGTCTTTGAGAGCCAGAGCTTTGAGGGGGTTACATGTCTCTGTTCCACTGAGTGCTGCAAAGGAGTTAGCAAGGATTTGAGGTTAAAGAGACGACTGCAAACTCAGAATGTTGTTGTTAGGTGCCA